CTGATCTCCCGTGTGAACTGTAGTGCTGGATGAAAATTATTAACAAAGTTAATAAAGCGTTCCAATTCGACACGAGAACATGATGCTGTGCCAAGACAGTCATCTATGTACCTACCAAGGTAATCAGGGATGGGATCAGTGTACTGTTCAAAGATTTGTTTTTCCACAAAACCAACAAACAAATTAGCATAGTTGGGTCCCATTTTAGTTCCCATGGCTACACCGTTTATCTGTTGGTAATGCTCACCATCAAAGGAAAAATTGTTGAGAGTAAGCACCAACTCAGCCAATCAGACCAAAACAGAAGTGGCCGGTTCCTGGTTAGGGCGTTTATCTAGAAAGAATTTGAGGGCCCTTATTGTTCTCTTACCATGTTTCTATATGGTATCCGGTTATGGATTTGGCCAGAGCCCCTCGTCGCTCTCGGTCGAACGCGCGTAAGAAGGGCTCTGGGTACAAGAATGGGTCTGAATACGTTAGCCTAATCCAGTTCCATACCCTCTTCTGACAGCACGGCGAGCGGAATCCAATAATTGTTTTATTATAAATAAAAGTATATAAAGATAAGTATATAAAGTCTATAAAGCTGAGACTTGCGACGGTTAGAAAAATGCAAAAAACCCAATTTAATAAAATAACTAAATACATGTTATGAAGATAGTTTTGTATTAAAACTACTACAGGGCTATTAAACTGTCTGAAACAATCTAAAACTAACTTATATATATAATACAGTTTTTCAGAAATGGGAAATTTACGATTTGCGTCCGATATTTTGCCTTTTTGGACACTAAATACTTGTTGGAAAACAAAGCGTGTCCAAGTTTAACAAAGTAACATTGGAAGAGTTCGAATTTTGGAACAAAGTTTATAAAACTCACGTAACTGCCGTTGCCATGGAGACGATGACGTTTCGATATAGCGGATATTTCGTCTTTAAAGTAACTTTACTCTTAAACGAGTTTGTGGTGACCCCAATTTTTTATTTCATAAAATGATTTATTATAAAAATTTGACTTTATTTGACGACTTTAAAAAATCTCGAAAGACTCAAATTTTTCTAAATTCGCTAAACATGAATATTCGTAATAACATTTTTTGAGTGGACAAAAGTTTTTTTAAATCGTTAAATAAATTCAAAATTTTAATAGCTTTTGCATGCGAGTTGGTTTTTGCGATGAGTGCAAAAGAGCCTTTATTCGTACGATCGAAAATATACGACAAGTTTTCTTTACTACCTAACAATATATTTGAAGGAGTTTGCCGTTCAATACCTCTTAAAGCTTGCAAACCTCCCAAGGAACTAGGCGAAAACGGCTGGTTGGATTTATACACTTTTGAGAGAAGTTCCGGGAAATTTAATATTATTTATTGCATATAATAAGATGTGCCAAAAATCGCTTGGGAATTAGACTGTTCTTACGAATACGACTAGGGTATAGGTTCAACAAAATTGATAAATGCTTATATTCGACAAATTGAACAACATATTACAATAATTGGCATCGAAAAAGTCGTATTATTATATATTTTTCATCACTGTAGACTTAATATGGTTGAAACCAGAGGCAAACATGGTCGAACAGTTGCCATTATCTTAACGCCAGAAATAACAAATGGGATCAACCTTCTAAATTCTTTGCGATCCACGGTTGGAATCCATGAAGAGAACCCATATGCCTTCGCACGGGTAAACCGAGACTCCCTCGGACATCTGAGAGGGTGGGACTGTCTGAGATACTGTGCTACAAAATGCAGTCCCAAACTGCAGAATCCCGATGCTATTACCAGTACCAGACTGCGAAAATATATCGCAACCATTACGCAGGTTCTTTCCCTGGAGGAAAAAGAATTAGACTGGCTGGCACGACACCTGGGGCATGATATCCGAACACATCGGGAATACTATCGGCTCCACGAGTCAACGATCGAGATTGCTAAAATCAGCAAGCTTCTGTTAGCTGTGGATTGCGGAAAGGCTGGTTCGTTGAAAGGCAAGTCCCTAGACGAAATAACAATAGACGGTGAGTTATGACTTGAATGCATGCATGCATCCATATAACCTTTTAGTTCAATACTTTTAGTTCAACACTTTGTCTCACCATATGAGCTGGGTATTTTACTAGTGTTAATTGTTAATTCAATTCAGCAAAGATAAAAATAAAAAAAAAACTAACCAGGGGCAACAAGAATAACAATTTTAAACTCCAGCTCACAAACTCCAGCTCACAAAGGTCCTTAGAATTCTTTGGTAGTCCATGACCGTGGGTCGATCCGTTTTGTATTTCATTGCCATGCAAGCAATTGGATATTATTGCTGTTCTTGAGTGCCGAGAACAATACCTCTCCACTATCACACTTCCGAGAAAGTAAAGAAGAGCAGTATCTGCTCCGAAACTACCTACGACATATAATATAGGAAATCTTACTATGATATGTATAGTCTTTGCTCAATGTATTACAGGCCAATAAATCATTAACATTACGTAGGGGAGGTTCTCGACTCTTCGCTATTCACATGCTGCAGGAGTAACAAGAATAATCCTAATGCAACTTTTCACGGTACGGCGTTCTTATGACAGAAATTACACAGAATAGAAATTGTCTGTTAAATTTTGACAGAGATTGCAGCGCCTTTTTCTTTTATATTGCAACATATGACATACTGCATGTTCCTGCATCCAGGCAACTACAGTACTGCTCAGAAGTAACCTAATGCTGCGAACGCGTTCGGAACGCGTTCCAAGACGCGTTCGGAACACCTTCGAGAACGCGTTCGGAACACCTTCGAGAACGCGTTCGGAACACCTTCCTGGACGTGTTCGGAACACCTTCCTGGACGCGTTCGGAACACCTTCCTGGACGCGTTCGGAACACCTTCCTGAACGCGAGGCGTGCGGAACGCGTTCTTGAATGCGTTCTGAAACTCGTGTTATTTCTCTTTGAAGCTTCGAGTTTCTTCGGAAAATTCCGAATACTATAAATGAAAACACAGTCAACTCAAATTCGTCTAGCTCGCATTATCCGACCAATACAAAAGCCCAAGAAAAGGAAATATATTTGGTCTTCAACAAACATGGCAAAATAACAAGTTGAAAATCTAATTCAAAGTTCAATGCGGTAGTAGCATGCAGCGCTTAAATTTTCGCAAATAGCTTCTACAATGAAGTTATGATAGGGGCCGATTAACCATAAAATACTGACAAGCAAACATTTTAAATGACGTGTTTTAATGTCAAGCGTTTAGATAAAGTCTACAAGACTACATGCACAAGTATATGCATGCACTTATCTTTTAAACTACAGTAAGTTCAGTTTATACCATACAATATTCATGCAGTCAGTTCTGTTCATAGGATAGCGATGTTGTTAAAATTTGATTTAAAGCTCGCAGCTACTGATACGCTACGCTTGTTTGTGAAAACCAAAATTTTGAAAATCATAGACATAGTCATAAATAGTAAGAATCAATCAGAGTGAATGGCTCGTCATTCACAAGTTACGAGTGTGGGAATGGCAATTCACTCGCGAGTTACGAGTTGGTGAATAGCGAGTCATTGCAGAGCGAGACAAAGGGAAACATCATTACACTCATGTAAAATTTAACGCTTCTTTTGACTGGCATAATAAAGCGTTTCATTTCATCAAATTTAATATTGCATCAGTGATTTTTTATCACGATTTCTTCCCGTGTGAGCATAGCTACCTTGTATGAAACAGCGTCGCTACAATTTCGATATTCAAAATTGCACAGATGGCACCGTCCCTGTCAGACAAATTTAGTTACATATATGATTTGCCACGGCGAGATAAAATGCATTCACAACTAGAATATCTTCTAAATATCATCTATAAAAACGCATGAATATTGTGTGCCGAAAAGTTATTTGGGACGGATACATACAAGGCTCCTGTCATTTTGAATATTTTGAACTAGACTCAGTTCCGAAATATCACATATTCGAACCGATCCCAGGCGTCCTGGGACGCCTCTAGAACAAAAAATGGACGCCTTTGGACGCCCAAATTCTGGGAGAAAAGGGAAATTATTTTGAACTGCAAACTAAGTATATTAATATATCCGAAACGAAATAGCTTCACTTATTATCATTATACATTTGACATTTTGATCAATTTGATGGTGTACCTGGCTGAATGAAAATGTTGTAGTTAAGTAAAGAAGCATAGCGGCACAAAATCACAAAGCCAAGTGTGTTTGAAAAATTTCGAACAAGCTTGGAACAGACACCGACATGAAGTAACGTAAACTTCAAAGGTTTTCCAGA